GGGCTCCTCACGCCCAGCCTCGCGCTGCCCATCCGTGTTCGCAGATTCGCCACAAACGGCCCGAGGACCCCCCCGGCTCCCCACGCTGCGAGTTCAGTCTCTAGAAGCTCCCCTAGAACATGGAGGGACTCCTCTGCACCTATTCTGTGTCCAGACGTCTTTTCCAGGCCCAGAGGATGGTCGCTCGCGTCTCAGCGGACCGGCTGAGAACCGTGGCGAAAGTGCGTACACGCAGCGCCACGGGGCCGCGTTTACCCAGGCGGACGCCGTCGCCGTCGCTGCTGCTGCTGCCGCCGCTGCCACAGCCTTTGCCGCCACGGTCTCGCTGCCGCTGTCCCTGTGCCGCCTCTGGGAGCCCCCTTAGTGTCCCGGCGGCACTGGGTTCCCAGGCCAGAAGACCACAGAGCTCGGGTAACGCGAGGGTGCTTGCGGAATTGCGACACTGGGGCGCCGGCGGGACCGCGAGCGCCAGGGGTCAGCGCGGGAAGCCGGGCCAGAGCGGGCGGGACAGGAGCCGGGGCGGCCAGCTCCGCGTCCCGGAGTTGGGGTCTCCCCTTCCCGGCCCGTCTTTCCCCGCTGGCCTCCCCGCGCGGGGTCGGAGCCCCGGCGGGCGCCCCCGGCGATGAGCCCGGACTGGAGGTGGCCGGTGAGTACGGGCCGGGGCCGGGGCAGTACCAGTGGAGAAGGGGCCGCCCAGGCGAGGCGCTCGGCGCTCGGCGCCTCCTGGCCCCTCGGGCGGGGAGAATTGACAGACCATTCGTTCGCGGCGAGCGTCCGCGGTAACAGTGTGTGTCCTCTGGGGCTGCCTGGGCCAGTGGCAGCCTTGGGAACCCTTGTTTGACTTGTTACACTTTGACAAAAAGGAAGCGGCGCCGCATCCGGGAGACCGTGCTCCGGCACCGCGGCCCTGGTCCCACCCCCTTGTCCCTTACTTCCTTCAGCTCCTGGAGTTCCTGGGAGTAGATGCTTCCTCCATACCTCTGGGCCCCAGGGCTTTCAGAGCTAAGTTCTGGTCACACCTTTGTGCCTCTGACACCAGGTCCCTGGGGGCACTGAGCCAGTTCGGGAACCAGGCCAGCAAAGCCAGAGTGGCAGCGTTCACCAGGGACCTGGCTTGGAAAGAGTTGAGCTTGTTTGTGCCTATAATTGGTTTCGTGTTTAAAGGCACAGCAGCAGCAGGTAGGAAATAGAAGTCAGTTGGAGTTGAACATGTAACTTGGAAGTCAGACGCCATCGACAGAAGGACTAGAATCGCTGGCTCTCGTGATTAAGCCTCAGGAGGAGAGGCTGAGAGTCAGTGTTTGTCAGGGAAGTCAGGCAGGCCTTGTATTGGTGGACCCAAGCACTCTAGTTCAGCTCATCCTGAGAGAAATTGGGGCAGTGACTGAGTAAGCTGGGCTCTCTGGGGTTTGGTGCCATCTGCTGTCTCTACTCACCCAGAAACACTGGAGTGGGGGATGGTTAGCCCTTGAGAACTCTGGAACTCAGTGCCTAGATTTTTATGTTCCTGTTTGTGCCCTTAGGGCCTGGCACTTGGTAGGCCCTGGATTAATGGTGCTTGAATCTGTAAATGAGGAAATAAGTGTAGCCTATGCTGTTTTCTCTGGGCAAATGACCATTTTCACATGGTTCCTCCCCATATCTCCCCACCCAGTTCCAGGGCTAGGGTGAGGATCCCCATAAAGACCTCAGTAATGCCCTGATTATGCAGTCCATGGTTTCTGTTGGAATCTAGGACTGAACCATTGGCCACTCACTCAGGCTTACACATAGGCAACTTTTATCCTTAATCTGATCCTCCCCAACTTCCAGGCTGGTGGTCTTCATTCAACAGGCTTTTCATTTATTTGCCAAGGCTTGAGAGTCTAGTGCTTGCTAGGAATTGGCAAGATTTAGAAATAGATAGGTCTGGTGTCTACTGAAGGTCTCTCTGGAGCTGAGAAGAGAATGCTGTGGAAACAGTTTTTCCATGGAAGAATCGAAGAAGTCATAGTAAAGGTGTCATTTGAACTAGGTTCTGAAGAATTTGTAGGAGCTCACCAATTAGCATTCCTAATAGCCCTTGTACCTTGAGAGATTGTAACATTTAGGGAATGGTAGGCTGCTGTGTATGGACAACTGTAGTTACTGAAAAGAATCTAGAAAGGAAAACTAGGGCTAGAGAGTGAAAGGAATCCCGTGAATGTTCTCCTAGATAGTTTGGATATTATCCTGAGAAGCTGGGGGAGCAGTGGGAGGCTTTTAGTCACGTCATTGGTATGATCACTGCTACTTGGTGAGATTTGGCTAAAAGAATCGAGACATAAGCAGGATGACCAAGCAATAGGTCTAGAGGACCTGTGCCAAGACCTTTGTAAAGGAGCTGGCACTTGGAGATGCTCTAAAGAGAGGCTGGCCAGGACATGGTGACCTTGTGAGAAGAAAGACTGGAGAAAGTAGGCTGTATGGTGAAGGGTCTGGAAGCTATTGTCAGGCATGTGCTAACTGATCGGTATATTCTAGATGTGACAGCATGGGGGTGGACTTTGATGTGAAGACCTTCTGCCACAACTTGCGGGCAACTAAGCCACCATATGAATGCCCTGTGGAGACCTGCCGCAAGGTTTACAAGAGTTACAGTGGTATTGAGTACCACCTGTACCACTATGACCACGACAGCCCACCACCCCCACAGCAGACCCCCCTGCGCAAGCACAAAAAGAAAGGGCGCCAGTCACGACCAGCCAATAAACAATCACCCAGCCCCTCTGAAGTCTCACAGTCACCAGGCCGAGAGGTGATGAGTTATGCTCAGGCCCAGCGCATGGTAGAGGTGGACCTGCATGGCCGTGTGCACCGCATCAGCATCTTTGACAACCTGGATGTGGTGTCAGAGGATGAGGAGGCCCCTGAGGAGGCTCCAGAGAATGGCAGCAACAAGGAGAACACCGAGACACCCGCTGCTACACCTAAGTCAGGCAAGCATAAGAACAAGGAGAAACGCAAGGACTCTAACCACCACCACCACAGTGCTCCTGCCAGTGCTGCTCCCAAACTGCCTGAGGTGGTGTATCGTGAGCTGGAGCAAGATACCCCTGATGCACCACCCCGGCCTACTTCCTACTACCGGTAAGGCCACCACCACCTCCTACTCTAGCCCTGCCAAGGGAGTGTGAGCTGTCCCTGGGCTCTATAGACCCATGCTAGGCCCCGCAAGGGAGTGTGAGCTGTCCCTGGGCTCTATAGACCCATGCTAGGTCCTGCAAGGGAGTGTGAGCTATCCCTGGGCTTTGTAGACCCATGCTAGGTCGTGTATTCAGTGCTTTATAGCCATCTCCCTTTTTTTTTTTTTTTTTTTTTTTTTTTTTTTTTTTTTTTTTGTTTTGTTTTGTTTTGTTTTGTTTTGTTTTTAATTTAAATAAGGCTTGGTTTGGGGGTTTTGGTTTTTGCAGGGGGCTTGTATGTTTTGTTTGAGACAGGGTTTATCTGTATAACAGTCCAGGCTGTATTGGAACTTAACTATGTAGCCAGGCTGGCCTTGAATTGACAAACGAGCTGCCTACCTCTTTCTTCCTGAATGTTCTCTTGACATTGCACCCAGCTATAGCCACCTCTGTATTCTCAGAACTCTTAAACAGTCATTGTTCTCATTTCAGAGAGTGTTAGGTCTGTCAAAAGTCACTTGCTAGGCACCTCTGAACTGAGCTTGAAACCCAAGTCTCCGGAACCTCAAATCTGCACTGTTGCCCTGCACCCATGTCAGCTCTGATTTCTGACCCTTTCTACCTTTTCACTGCATGGCCATGGCCTGGTGCTCTAGAAACTTCATCTGCACAACATATGCAGTGTTCTTCCCTAGGGTAGAAGACATTAGCTTCAGAAGACCCTAAATGCAGGTGATAAATCTGTGATGTAATTTCCCTGCTGTTCTGTTAGTGTTACCTGTCCTTTAACAGCTCTGTAATCAGTGTTTCCATTGTTGACATAGTACCTCTCCAATGGCTCTTTTATTTATTTCATTTATTTTTTTTTCTTTGTATTCCATTCCTTCTAAGAGCTAGTCATAATGGCTCCTATTGAACTTGCAGACATTCATAATTTTATAAAAACATCTTTTTATATTTACTTATTTGTGTGTCTGCACATACACTTGTATCACAGCACCCGTGGAAGCTAGAGGACTACTTGTGGGAGTCAGTTCTCCTACCATGCAGGTCCCAGGTCCCAGGATAGGATTTAGGCCATTGGATTTGGGAGCAGGCACCTTTACCCATTTAACTGTCTTGCTGGCCCTGAAGTCACAGACATTATAAAGCTAATTCCATTAACATGAGAAAAAAAGATGTACAGTGTGTGGGCAATGGGGTGGTGAACTATTAGGTAGAAATCTCAGCCATAGGATGTTATCAAAACCAAGTGTAAAACCCTCGTGGAGTCCTGGCCACTGAAGCCAGGAAACAGTTTGTTCATTTGTATTTATTGTAAAGACTCTCCTGTAAAAAGTGGCTTTTGCCTAAAGATGCAATTCACTTGATATTACAGTAACTGCCTGGGAATACAGTGTCCAAGTTTTATTAAGTATTTTCTTTCCTTTCATCTGTTCAGCTCTGTTCCCCCTTTCTGTTTTCTACTCTTTTTCTCTTGGAATTTACTACCATGCTTCTTCACCCCCCAACAGGCCCCTCTTTGGGCCTTCCTCTCCTCTAATGGCTCTTGGCATGCATAATCTGTTCTCACAGGCAGTCCAGCCCAACTTACTCAGCTGCTTCTCTTCCTCCCCCCACACAGTCACTTTTCTCCTGGGATCAGCTCTTTTCTCTAGAGGAGCAGTTTTCAGCTGGTGTGTTGCAGTCCGTTGGGGATAATGTTATTGTAATTATCATAGTTAGCAAAATTCCCCATGTTTTGGAAATGACTTACTTTTGTAAAAACTTGAAGGTCTGAGGTCGTCACTCAGCATTTTCCTTTGCTCAAATTCCAGTGCACTTCATGAGGGGGAGGGAGAGGGTGGTGCGTCAGCTGTTGTGCCAAGAATTGTACATGACACACAGCCCACCTATCTGTGCCACAGTCTGTAATCTGGGAGCCTGTGGGAGTATGTTATGTACGTACCATCACATACTGTCATGTGTCAAGGCAGAGGAACAGGCAAGACCTGATGTTTAAGAGAGCTAGTGCAAGCCCTAGAACCATCCAGCTACTGCACACCAGCTCTGATCATATGCTTATTCCAGGAGCACAAGCTGAACTCACTTTGGGTTAAGAGGGAAAGGGCTAAGGAAGAAGCTGCCCACACACACATTTTAATCTCTCTCTTCCCTGCTACCCCCCCCCCAAATGCCTTTCATTTGAACAACACTGAGAATCTATTTCTGTATAGTGAATCAGACATGATCCCTGCCTCTGTCTAGAGAAGGAGTTAGGCACAAACAGCTATAATTCAAGGCAAAGTGGGTTAGGGCTATACAAAAGCTAATAATAAAGTTGACATTTATTGAATAGTTGCTTCATACGAAGCACTGTGCTAAGCATTTCCCTTTATTAACTCATTTCATGCTCACAACAGCAGTGTCAGGCAGGTCATATTAGCATTGCCACTTTATAGATAAGGAAACCAAGACTCAGAGAGCTTAAGGCTTAAGGTCATATACTGTCATACAGAGACCAGGCAAATAGCCCCAGAGCTTCTGTGCATATGACCTGCTTGTATTCATTTTCCATGTGGAGAGAGGAATTAACATTCTGCTGTAACATGCTGTGTACCACATGATTTAGCTACTCTACCCCCCCCCACACACACACACACACTTAAATACGGGGCCTCGTGTGTCCTAGGCTAGCTTCCAACTCACTGTGTAGTAGCCTTGAACTTTTGATTTTTCTGCCTCTGTCTCTTGAGTGCTAGATTTACAGTTATGCCATCACACCTGGTTTTATGGGGTGCCAGGGATTGAACCAGGGCTTTGTGCATGCTAGGCAAAAATTGTACCAACTGAGTATATCCCCAGCTCTTTAGCCATTCCCTTTTGCAATGTCATTTAAAGTTATCATTTACTGAATATAGCCCTCATTCTTCTATCAGTAAAGCTTTGATACAGGGCAGAGCAGTGATGTTCTGAACATGACAGAATGGCAAAGACAAAGTTTAAAACCAGGTTTGTTAAGAGCCAAAGTCCTGTTCTTGTCTTACACTCTGTAGTTGGCAATGCTGGAGTCTAGGTGGCCTAAGGCAGGGCAAGGTGGGTGCCTGTTGTGTCGCAGCAACCTGGAGCAGCCTCTGCTCTAGGCCTGCTGTCTTGGAGAGATCCAAAGTGGATGTGAAAAGGCTGGGGCCAAAGATTAGATGCCAGCTCTGTCATTCCCTGGTGATAGGACCTATCCGTCATAGGTTATTAACAATTTTCTCAAAGCCTCACTTTCTTCATCTACAAATAAAGATGATAAGAACACTGATCTGCTAGTTGTAATAGAGAATAGATGTAACTTGGCCTGGTGCCTGGCCCATAGTAAATGCCCAGTCAGTCATAGCTATTATTATCTTCCAAGGCTATCCAGAGAACAAACAGTATGTAGCTTTTGAAAGACTCCTAGCACCTTCTGAAAGAAGGTCCATGGTGTCTTTAGTACTTGTCAGCTTTGCTAAAGCAGGCTTGTATTCATTTGCCAGTTTTGTACAAAGAACTGCCTTCCTCTGACTGTACAATCCCCCATATTCCCATGATGGGCCTTCATTTATCCAACATTTCGCCTTTTAAGGGGTCTAGCTGAGCCTCTATACTTAAGGGAAGACAGCATCATATGACAGCCACAACATGAGTACTAGAGAGGTAGGCCTGTGTTTATGACCAAGCTTTAGGGCACTTTCTTACAAGTAAGCTAAGGAAGTTAACTTCCCCCACATTTAGGGTTCCTTTCTGCAAGACAGAAACATCCTAGTAACTATGAATGTGGGGTTAAGGTAAGGCTAGAATGAGACGTGCATACAATGGATCATCAAACTACCTGTGTGAACTTCAGGTACATCGAGAAGTCTGCAGAGGAGCTGGATGAGGAAGTAGAATATGACATGGATGAGGAGGACTACATCTGGCTGGATATTATGAATGAGCGACGGAAGACCGAGGGTGTGAGTCCTATCCCACAGGAGATCTTTGAGTACCTAATGGACCGGTTGGAGAAGGAGTCCTACTTTGAGAGTCACAATAAAGGTGACCCCAATGCACTAGTGGATGAAGATGCCGTGTGCTGTATCTGCAATGATGGCGAGTGCCAGAACAGCAATGTCATCCTCTTCTGTGACATGTGCAACTTGGCTGTGCACCAGGAGTGCTACGGTGTCCCCTATATCCCTGAGGGCCAGTGGCTGTGCCGCCGTTGCCTGCAGTCACCTTCTCGTGCAGTTGACTGTGCTCTGTGCCCCAATAAGGGTGGTGCCTTTAAGCAGACAGATGATGGCCGCTGGGCCCACGTGGTGTGTGCCTTGTGGATACCTGAGGTCTGCTTTGCCAACACAGTCTTCCTAGAACCTATTGACAGCATTGAACACATCCCACCAGCCCGCTGGAAGCTCACCTGCTACATTTGCAAACAGCGGGGCTCTGGAGCCTGCATCCAGTGCCACAAGGCCAACTGCTACACAGCCTTCCATGTGACATGTGCCCAGCAGGCTGGCCTTTACATGAAGATGGAACCTGTGCGGGAGACAGGTGCCAATGGCACCTCCTTTAGTGTCCGCAAGACAGCCTACTGTGACATCCATACACCCCCAGGTTCTGCTCGCCGCCTACCTGCCCTATCCCACAGTGAGGGTGAGGAGGAGGAGGATGAAGAAGAAGATGAGGGTAAGAGCTGGAGCTCAGAGAAGGTTAAGAAGGCCAAGGCCAAGTCCCGGATTAAGATGAAGAAAGCTCGGAAGATCTTGGCAGAGAAGCGGGCAGCAGCACCTGTGGTGTCTGTGCCCTGTATTCCGCCACACAGGTACATGGGCAGCAGTGGGCAGGAAGGGGAAGGGAGAAGCCCTCAGAGGGACTGTGGGGCCTAATTAGAGTGGCCTGCTTGCCTTCCTATCAGAGCGGCTTGGAAGTGAAAAAGAAAGTAAAAAAGAGGTAATCTTAAACCGGGTGGTGGTAGCACACGGCTTTAATCCCAGCACTTGGGAGGCAGAGACAGGCGGATCTCTGTGAGTTCGAGGACAGCCAGGACTGTCTTGGGCCAGGGGGATGATCTACCTGACTTTTGCATTAGGAGCCAGAAACTCTGAACCTTTAGCAGATGGAGCACATATTTAAGCTGCCCTCTTTTTGATGGTGCTTTTTGTTAAGATTAAACATCCACTGAGGAAAAGTGATCTTCCCATGAAAGAATCAATGAAAAGTGGGAAGAAGGCTCAGAAAGTTGTGAAGGGGCTGGGATGCAGCTCAGTTGTCAGATGTGCTTAGCATTTATAGGGATCTGGGTTCAGGTCCCCAACACAGAAATAAGTGCATAGCATGTGCAGCTTGATCATGCACAGAGATGCTACAGTGTCATCTGTGATCCTAAGGGCCACCTTCCCATGTTGTTGACTGTGCCCTGTGGAGTGCTGCTCAGTCAGGCTGTGATTGTCAGTTGTTTTTTAGCTGTCTTGTGTTGTCTGGTTGACTTCACTATACGTTTCTGTGCCTGTAATTTATCTTCACTTGATCTTAGCAAAAAGGCCAACAGGTGATGGGGTACATTATCTTCTCCACAGGGTCAGTCCGAGAGGTCAGAGTTTAACTGTGCCCTGGGCTGCTGTGGCTAAGTGTACTTAGAGGCAGACTGATGCTGTTCTGCTTAGTGATGAGAGTTTGGTTTCCTCTCTGCTGTGTTGTGCCACTCAAGGCACTGTTGATTATGTCTCAAGCCCAGAATTCCAAGCTGCTCCTTCTCTTTCCTCCTCTTTTCTCTTTGAGATAGAATCTCTTATAGTAGGCTGGGCTAGAACTCCATATAGAGGCAAAGATTACTTTGAGGTTCTGGATCCTTTTGCCTCCACTTCCTGAGTGCTGGGATTACAGGTGTGAGCTACTTACTATGCTTGGTTTTCCAGACATTTCTGGTAAGCATCATAGCCCCCACTTGTCCTCATTCAGAAATTCTTACTGGCAGTCAGGACCTAGCAGGGTTTTACTTTGTTCCCTGGTTCCCAGACTCAGTAAGATCACCAACCGCCTGACCATCCAGAGGAAGAGCCAGTTCATGCAGAGGCTACACAGCTACTGGACTCTGAAACGACAGTCACGGAATGGGGTCCCACTACTCCGGCGTCTGCAGACACACCTTCAGTCTCAGAGGAACTGTGATCAAGTCGGGGTACTGTGTCCAAATCCCTGTGGGCTGTGGAAACTAATACCAAAAGGGCAAGGACCAAAATTTGTAGTGATAGCCTCCAGCATCAAAGAACTTAAGATTTTTTTTCACCTTTAAATCAACCCCCAAAGCAGGGTCAGCATGAAATCTATATATTACCAGGTTGATGAAAGGCATCATTCCTGAACATTATTATCTTGGTTTTAGACCCTGGTAACAAGTAGATGGAGGTAAATTACTGACAAATTACCAGGCTTCCCCCTTAGACTTGTCCTGCCCTTGTCCTAGGTTTCCTGCACTCCTCTTCTGGATTCCTCTTTGGGTCTCTCACCATCTGATGCTCCTTTTACCTCTACAGAGAGATTCTGAAGATAAGAACTGGGCCCTCAAAGAACAGCTCAAGTCCTGGCAGCGGCTCCGGCATGACCTGGAGCGAGCTAGACTGCTGGTGGAGTTGATCCGCAAGCGAGAGAAACTCAAAAGGGAGACGGTGAGTGTTCCTGGGCCAGCCCTGGTTCTGACAGCAGAACACAGCTCTGGAGGAGGTAGCCTTGTGTCCCTGGCCGGGAGGCACCAAAGCCCATAATAGCATTGAGTGTCCTATTACTATGTGCTTTTAAGCCTGTGGGAAGCTTGAATATCAAAAGAGACTGCATAGTATCCTAACCTCTGACCCAGGCAGCTCAGGCCAGGAGTTCAAGGAAGGGGGACCAAAGTGGATAGAGACAGCTTTCTTTCAGTGGGGCCTGGATGAGAAAAGCATGTTCCTAAGCCAGCAGGGACCATCTCCTTTGACCCCTGCTGAGGGACTGGACAGGGCCTAGCTGATCCAGCCTTTTTGTGTGCCAGATCAAGATCCAGCAGATTGCCATGGAAATGCAGCTGACCCCTTTCCTCATCCTCCTCCGAAAAACCTTGGAGCAGCTGCAAGAGAAGGACACAGGCAACATCTTCAGCGAGCCGGTCCCTCTGTCTGAGGTAACCGAATTGGACGAAGTAAGAACCCCTTCCCCTCGCTCCAACTTCTTTCTCTTCTTCTCCCAGTTGGACCCCTGCTGCAGGTCTGGCCCAGGGACTAGGTGGGGACCTAGACATAAAGGATTCGGTGGCTCTGGAGCAGGATGAAGTAGAGCCACATCTATCACCTGGACTCTTGTCTTGACCTTATCACACCCTAAGAACTCAGAATGGGAGGCCGTCTTCACTCCTTCCCCAGAGTCTGCCAGATGAATAGTCACAAGGCAGGAAGATTAGAATGGAAGCTTTAGAAGGTTCAGAATCTAGAGTCAGCTTTGAAGCCCTAGGGTCACTTTTCTCTCAGAAAGATATAAAAATGAGACATCTGAGGCAGCAGCCTTACCACAACCCTTATGATAAGCAAGAACAACAGTAAGAATACAAGGCAGTACAATTTTTAGAGAATTCTCATGGCTTCTTCTTCTTCTTTTTCTTTTTTTTTTTTTTTTTTTTTTTTTTTTTTTTTTTTTTTTTCTTATTAAAACTGCCCATGGTTCCAGGAAATAGATTTACCTGCATTTTCCAGGAGAGGAAAATAAGGCCCAGAGAGGATAAGAGACTACTGTGACCATAGTAAAGTCAGAATTAAAACTTCCCTTGTACTACATGCCTGCCTCTTAACTGTGGTGGGAGGAGGTTGCTAGGTACATTTCAGGGGTGGGAGGGCTGTTAAGAGTAGGGTTTGGGAGAATAAGAACAGATCTCCACTTAAACACTTACCCTGCTTTCCCAGGTACCTGACTACCTAGACCACATAAAAAAGCCCATGGATTTTTTCACCATGAAGCAGAACTTGGAGGCTTATCGCTACTTGAACTTTGATGATTTTGAGGAGGACTTCAACCTCATTGTCAGCAATTGCCTAAAGTATAATGCCAAGGACACCATCTTCTACAGGGCAGCAGTGCGACTCCGTGAGCAGGGTGGCGCTGTGCTCCGGCAGGCCCGGCGCCAGGCAGAAAAAATGGGCATTGACTTTGAGACGGGCATGCATATCCCTCACAACCTGGCTGGAGATGAGGCCCCACACCACACTGAAGATGGTGGGTGATGAGTCATCTGCATGCATAGAGGCCAATGCCAGAGATGGACAGCTTTCCAAAAGTCCCTATCTGGGAGCAGGCAGTACAGGCAGAAAGCAGCTGAGCAGCAGCAGGCTATCCCCAGGAATGCTCCCCAAGAAGCCAGACAGGGTGAATGGATAGCTGGGCCACCATTCTATGTACTAGTGCTGCCATTTTGCAGCGCTTCCTGGGAGAAGCCAATGGGAAGAGTGGGTTCCTGCTGCCTGCCTAGGTTCAAGGGGCCCAATGGGCTGCCCTGAGCCTGACCTTTCTCCCCCCAACTCTCCCTGGCAGCAGAGGAAGAACGGCTGGTACTGCTGGAGAACGCCTGACCTTTCTCCCCCCAACTCTCCCTGGCAGCAGAGGAAGAACGGCTTTTACTGCTGGAGAACCAAAAACACCTTCCAGTAGAAGAGCAGCTGAAGTCGTTGCTGGAGCGACTGGATGAAGTCAATGCCAGCAAGCAGAGTGTGGGCCGTTCCCGGCGTGCAAAAATGATCAAGAAAGAGATGACAGCATTGCGGAGGAAGCTTGCTCACCAGCGGGAGACTGGCCGGGATGGGCCTGAGCGTCATGGCCCCTCTAGCCGGGGCAATCTAACACCCCACCCAGCAGTCTGTGACAAGGATGGACAGACAGACAGTGCCGCAGAAGAGAGCAGCAGCCAGGAGACAAGCAAAGGTCTGAACCCCATAGCAAGATAGACCCCAAAGCAAGTCAGATTTTGGCTCTGCAGTACATACTCAGCCCTGCTGTCCTTTCTGCATAGCTAGCTGCACTTTCTCCTTCAATCCCCTGTCAGGGGCCTCTTAGCTGCCTTTCTGGCTGTTGGTATGAGTCCTTCTAAATCCTCAACCCCAAAATCATCTCCCCAATTCTAGACAGAATAATGATCCTATATTCCCAGGATGTGACCCTGGACATATACCCTACCTTTTCATGTCAGGCCCCTCACCAACTCTCCTTCTCTCTTTCTCTGCTCCAGGCCTGGGTCCCAACATGTCCTCAACCCCCGCACATGAGGTGGGCAGGAGAACCTCAGTTCTGTTCTCCAAAAAGAACCCGAAGACAGCTGGACCGCCCAAGAGGCCGGGCCGGCCCCCCAAAAACCGGGAGAGCCAGATGACCCCCAGCCACGGAGGCAGTCCTGTGGGGCCCCCCCAGCTCCCCATCATGGGCTCCCTGCGTCAGCGCAAGAGGGGTAGGAGCCCCCGGCCCAGTTCGAGTTCAGACAGCGACAGTGATAAGTCCACAGAAGACCCCCCAATGGGTGAGCTTCATTATCACCCAGCCCCTCCCCCCAAGAGAGTGAGCAGAGCTACCATTCTTCCCAATGTACTTTGAGCTCTCCCTTCATTTCCTTATACAAGACAGCTAGAAGGGCCCTTAAAGTCCTTGAATTCCATTCCCTCATCCTTCATTTGTGAAAACTAAGGCTCAAAGATACTGACCCAGCCAGGTTCCCATCCAAGCCCGGCTCCCGTATCACTTTACCTTTGCTCTTCTCTCCTTCCTTGGGGAACTTCCTGCCCTTTAGGTCCTTTGTATCTTTAGGCCAAGGGAAGGTGAAGGTCAGTGCAGAGCTTTGACCCACTATGGTAAAACTGCTCAGAGCTATCTTTGCTGGCCAAAGTTGCAGGAATTTTCCAGCCCAGAAAGAGAACCTAGACTCACTCCACCTTGCCTCCATGCTATGCTGGCTCTGATCTACAGCTTTCTGACCAGTTGGTTCCTTCCCTCCTCCTCTTCCCTCCAAGACTTACCAGCTAATGGCTTCAGCAGTGGGAACCAGCCAGTGAAGAAGAGTTTCTTGGTGTACCGTAATGACTGCAACCTTCCCCGAAGCAGCTCAGACTCTGAGTCCAGCAGCAGCAGCAGCAGTAGTGCCGCCTCAGACCGGACCAGGTACTAGCCCTGAAGATGGGATGCAGCCATCAGGATGCCTTTCCAGGTTCTCCCATGGAAGCTGGGTGTCAGCCATTTTCGCTCAAAGGAAGGAGCTCAAATCCAAGTGTCCCTACAAAATAAACGGGATGGATCAGTCACCCTAACAGAACACAGGTTCTGTTAAGCTGATGCTTTATAGAGCAATGCAAACTGGTGCCTTGGCCCTCAGACATACTTTATTTTGGGCACTAAGATGTTTATAATGACTGACTACAGATGCTGGAGAGATGGCTCAGCAGTTAAGAGAACTGATTGTTCTTCCAGAGGACCTGAGTTCAAGTCTCAGCACCCACATGGCAGCTCACAACTGTCTTTAACTCCAATTCCAGGGCATCTGGCATCCTCACACAGGTCATACATGCAGACAAAATACCAATTCACATCAAAAAAACAAAAAACAAAAAACAAAAAAACAAAACGGGGGAAATAGGATTAAATTTATTTAAAAGCAAAATACTGAATCCACATAAAATTCTTAATGTCTGTGTTCTCTTTAAAAATCAGAGGATGGTGGGCTGGAGATGGCTCAGCAGTTAAGAGCACTGACTGTTCTTCCAGAGGACCTGGGTTCAATTCCCAGTACCCACATGGCAGCTCACAGCTGTCTGTAATTCCAGTTCCAGGGGACCTGACACCCTTACACAGACACACATGCAGGCAAAACACCAATGCACATGAAATAAAATAAATTATTTAAAAAAAAAAATAAGGCGTACACCTTTAATCCCAGCACTTGGGAGGCAGAGGCAGGTGGATCTCTGTGAGTTTGACACCAGCCTGGTCTACAAGAGCTAGTTCTAGGACAGCCTCCAAAGCCACAGAGAAACCCTGTCTCAAACCCCACCCCACCCCCCAAAAAAACAGAGGCTCAAGCCAGGTGGTGGCTCACACCTTTAATCCCAGCATGCAGGAGAATCTCTGTGAGTTTGAGGGCAAAGTCTACAGACTAAGTTCCAGGACAGCAAGGGCTACACAGAGAAACCCTGTTTAACCAAAATCAGAGGATCAGCTGGTTGTGGTTGCTCATACCTGTAACTCTAGCACTTAAGAGTAGGATTGCTGCAAACTCAAGGCCAGCCTGGACTACAGAGTAAGTTCCAGTCTAGCCATGGCTACATATGTGCCCTGTCTCAAGGACTAGGGATGTAGCTCCTTGATGGAACACTTGTCTAGCTTGTGTGAGGCTCTAAGATCAATCTCAAGTACTTCAGAACAATAAATTATTCTCCTAGAAGATCTGGCAGCTCTGGTCAGTATTGTATAGACAGGCAGGCTTTCTGCTCAGTGACTGACCTCTACATTAGTCTGATTACTAGCCTAACCCCTAAGTGTGTGAGTTGCAAACTTCATACAGTCTACTTTTCAAAATTCTAGATTTGAGTGTTTAACGAGAGGACCCCTGCCACACAATTCCCCATTTCCTCCTCTGAATTGCATTCTAATTGTCTTTCCACAGCACAACACCCTCAAAACAAGGCCGGGGCAAGCCCTCCTTCTCTAGGGGGACATTCCCAGAGGACAGCAGTGAAGATACCTCAGGCACTGAGAATGAGGCCTACTCCGTGGGCACTGGCCGCGGCGTGGGCCACGGCAGTAAGTACCCTCACCCAAAGTCAGGGGTGCTGGGAACCCAGTTTCAAGGCCTTGCCAGCTCCCCAGCTGATGATCCGCCCCCTCTTTCCCATTCCTGTGAAGTGGTAAGAAAGAGTCTGGGTCGAGGAGCTGGCTGGCTGTCAGAAGATGAGGACTCCCCATTGGATGCTCTGGACCTTGTGTGGGCCAAATGCCGAGGTTATCCATCGTATCCAGCTCTGGTAGGCCTGTCGTTTCTTGTCCTTACCCCTTATTTTCCAGCCCTAAGACTGGGATTCATAAGTGTAGCCTTGCCCTTTCCCTGCCAAGCTACAGAGCACGGGGCTCCTTAGCAGGTAGACTGATAGACAGATGTAGCTTGAGTACCCCAGAGAGATCCCAGTCAGTTTCCCACCTCTCCCTATCTCTTCCTTTTTGCCTTTTAGACTCTAAAATAATATGGCAAAGTCAACACTACATATTCTTCAGTTATAGTCTTCAAATTTTTAGATAGTAGTAGCTTTGGGAAGGAACTGACCTAAACCAAACTGGGCTTGTATTATACCCTCAGATCATTGATCCAAAGATGCCCCGAGAAGGTATGTTCCACCATGGGGTTCCCATCCCTGTACCACCACTAGAGGTTCTAAAACTTGGGGAACAGATGACACAGGAAGCCCGAGAGCATCTCTACCTCGTTCTCTTCTTTGACAACAAACGAACCTGGTAAGAAAAGGGGGTGCATTTGGTGTGACCTGAAGCCATAGATTAAACACAGCCAACTGTGATGTGGGGCAGACTGCCAAGAGACACAACAGATTAGGTTATTACAAGGTATTGAGGGGGCATACTTAGAATAACTCTAAGCAAAAGAGTGTGTTTGTCCTGAGTCTGATGGGCTTAGTGGGCAGCAGCTGGCTAACAGCTGTAACTACAAACTAAAAGACCATCAGTGACTGGCAAATTTAGGGTGGCTCCCTGCCCACACTCAGATGTCTTCTAGACTTAGTTTTCCCACTTCTTCATCTATAGTAATGAAGGGGGGAAAGCAAGCATAAATATTTCGGCTTTATACTCAGGAGGCAGAGGCAGGCAGATCTCTTGAGTTCGGGGCCAGCTAGGACTACAGTGAGAAAACATGTCTCAAAAAGCAAAAAGGAGAAGAAAATTTGGCTTTAATCTGTATAGTCTCCCTGAAACAGCTGGGACAAGATACCTATTTGAGGCTTTTTATACCCATAAAATGCCCTGTGGTTATGCTGTAGAATTAATGTCTTCCTAGTGAGAATTCATTCCTCATACTTAAGAAATTAATAAAGGAATGTCTTTTTAATAATACCATGCAACTGGTTCTGGCTAATGCACAAAAGGGAACCAGCCTCAAACAGAACATTTAACCAGCTTCTATAGGTCTTAGGCTATATATTCCACATACACTGTCATCTTAAATCTCTTCCAGGCCATGGTCCCAGGTTACAAGAGAGACAGGAGACTGCAAGTCTGGCCAATTGGGCAGCGAGATTTATACAGCAAAGAAATTGCCATAATTATTTAAGTACACCAGTGTTGTTCTTTTCTGAATAGTTGTAACCCAGAGTCATCTTGCCCACTTGGCAGAATTATGCTTTCCCTGATAAGACGTTCACTTAATTGCAGACCAGCCATTAATGATGGCTGTCACTTGCACTGCCGCCTTGAGATGACCCTTAGAAGAATGTTCTTTGATGTGGGGATGGTCCTAATGGCTGTTTTTACGTCAGTGTTGCCTCCTTTTGTTCTGGGAGTGGAGATTAATTGGAGTCACTCTTGGTCAACAACCATTAGCAGACACATTTTCTCAGCAACCCTAGACTGCCATAATGGTACAAAAGTTTCTTTGCTACAATTTCTAACACCCCTGGTTAGTTCACTACTCACCTTCCAGTCAAATCTGAGGCAGAACTTCTTACCGAACTTCTACTTTGTTTAACTTAATATTTCCTAAGCAAGTCTTTTAGTAATTCTTTTATAGCACCAATTTTATTACTTCAGGTTTCTCCTGAATCAGTTATCCCTCCTAGTATAATTAATAGTTATTCCCCCTACTATAACTGTTGGCTGGGCTATTCTCTATATACTACACAGTCTCTTGAGAGCAGGGATACTGAGAATCAGGAATTTCTAAATGCATGTAGTGTGGATGGGCTACTACTTGTTCCCCCTGAAATCCATGCCTCTTCTCTTTACCTTGTCTGACAGGCAGTGGCTGCCCAGGACTAAACTCGTTCCTCTGGGTGTGAACCAGGATCTAGACAAAGAGAAGATGCTGGAGGGCCGCAAGTCCAACATCCGCAAGTCAGTGCAGATTGCCTATCACAGGGCTCTGCAGCACCGAAGCAAGGTGCAGGGTGAGCAGAGCAGCGAGACCAGCGATAGTGACTGATACTGTCAGAGCCCAACTACAGTGCTCTGTGACCGATCTCCTTCCCTTTGCTCACTGTCCTGGAGTTGTGCCGCCCTCTGCACTGATTAATTCCTGGTCTTGGGGCCAGTCTCAGGGGAAGTTGGGTGGGGGAGGTCCCTCCTGCCCTGAGTGCAGCTGGACTGTACAAAACACTCCAAGGGCCCATGGCCACTCAGTGCAAGGAGAGGAGAGGTCCCACAGGTCAAAAAGAGCTTAAGACCTCATGGTGTTGTAGGGCAGGATGGTGGGTCATGGTAAAAATACTGCATAAAACATGCCATACCACCACCCTTACCTGCTTGTGCCAGGGGAATCCATAACTGCCTAGAGGCCTGAGGCCCTTGCAGGTGGTAAGGTAAGCCAGCATTATCCCAGCCTAGCAGTGGAATTGATGTCTGTCTAGCCTGGAAGAGGGGCACTAGGTGACCCCTCCCCTGCTGTTGTAAATACTGTAATTATTGGAGAATTTAAATTATTCTCATTTGTAACTGCGTTTCCGGGTCGCGCCAGAGTCATTTGGTACTAAAAAAGAGAAAAAGAAAAAAAAAGAATGGAGCTTGTCTCTATTTCCTTTCTTTTTCCCATAGAATCCCCCCTACCTTTCAAACTGGTTTGTATTTATTTCAAAGGAAGAAAATATATTGATTCTTAGAAAATAAAGTCTACTTAGTATTCTTTTTTTTCTTGCCTTCTACCAGGGCAGAAGGATTCAAAGGAAGAGATCTTTGCCTCATGGGTGAGACATACTTGTGCCCAAGGGTTTGCTGACTACTGTGCATGCTAGGCATAAGACAACACATCAGCAAGTTTGATATGGTGGCACAGTCCTACAATCCTTGGACTTGAGGTGCTGAGGCAGGAAGACTGCCATGAGTTCAAGGCCAGGCAGAATAACATAACAAAAACCTGTCTTTTAAAAGTTTCTTCAACAAAGCTGAAAGCTCCCATTTCCTATGTACTAAGTGTCAGGCACTGCCCTATGTATCTACAAATACATAAATTGTTTCTAATCCCTGTAGTAACTATGGGGTGGGCTAATAAATAATAGGCCAGTTACCTCTACAGTGACAAGCCCATATTAAGTACCTTTAGGTACACTGTTGTGTAATCTTCACAGTAATTATGGGGTGGGTTAATAACTAACAAGTTGTACAGCCAGGATTTAAACTTGGGCCCATTTGTGTGGACATCTGGCTCTTCAGTCCGCATGCTAAAACCAGATGAAGAGTTCACTGCTGACTTCCTTTGTGGATTCCACATGGCTCAAGTCCTTTGTTAGGACTATAGCTTACGTGCTTCAAACACTACAGTTGAGACCTTAATTGGAAACAGTAAGGTTGTACAAGACTGTTCATACACATCGAACCTCAGCATCTTTTCCAATTCAAACACTTGTTGGAGGGAATGCCTTCTAAGTGCCTGGCACCTATAAAGTGACATGCCTACAGATGAGGTAACCAAAGTAAGACATGGCTGCCTGTGGCCTTGCAGCTACTTAGAATGAACTGAGACACCTTGCGGTACATAGGACACAAAGATAAACCAGCAGCAGACCTTGCTCTCAAATCTGTAGTCCAACGATTTAGGTACAACCCCCAAAATCTCTAAGTGGAAAATGTCCTAGTGTGTCAGACTAATGTCTCAAGTTCTCATGTCTCCTAGCCCCCAGCATTTTTTAATATCTTCGAGAAAGCTGTTAGTGATACAGTCAAGGTAGCCACCAATAGGGTGCTGGCCATTGAATTTTCAGGTCCGTTAGGCCGCCTGGGGGCCACATATTGTTATTGGACTCAGTGAACCCCAAAGAAAGCCCATACACAGGTACCCTATTGCACGTGGCGTGTGGGCAGAAGATTGGGTATACTGACGGAACGTGCCCAGATTGAGGAGGGTAGCTGCGACCGCAGGCTGGGCCTCTGAAGCCTGGAAGGAAGGCCGATTCGGCCCATTCGGAGCCTCATGGCAGGAGGTGGAGGGAGTCAGCGCTGAAAAGAGGATTCTCTGAGACTTACTCACACTGCCTCAAAAGAGGCTCGGTGGAGAAAGGCTTGAGCAGGGGAGGATGAGGCTCTTTGGGTTTGTTTCTTGAGACTAGAGTCTCGCCGTGTAGCCCAGCCTACTTCAGCTTCGAACGTGCGACCATCCTCCCGCCTCTGCCTACCGAGTGTTGGGACGACGTGAGTGTGCCACCACGCCCTGCAAGGCTGTGGCTCCAGAGCGGGCTAGCCCGAGAGAGAAGTCGCAAACCCTGAGATCACACCACAAGCCCTGAGATGGCAGGGGGCGGCCGCGGGCGACCAATGGCCAGCTGCGAGGCCCGCAAGCCAACCGCTAAGGCTCCTCAGGCAGACCCGCCCACTCCACCACGCCCGAGTTCTCATTGGCGCCTCTCACTTTCTCCTCGGATTGGCTACCTCTAGGATCAAATAAGCAGGGGCTAGGATCTACTTCCGGTGACAGTGAGCTAGAACCCGGAAGAGCCTCACTGGCGCGGCTTTCCAAAAATCTCGACGACTACGCCGGAAGAGAAGGCATGCGCCGGGAGGCTCTGGGGGCGGGCCCACGTCAGGAGGAAAAGGAGGGGCCTGCTCCACAGAAAAGCCGAGTGGGCAGGGTGGTAGGACTCTATTCCCTGCCAGAGGCTGGCCTTCAAGCCGAGAGGGAGACTCAAATTAAACAGGGGCGGGCCTCCCAGAGTCTGGTACCCGAGGTGCTACACCCTACGGGGGCGTGGCCATTTGCGAGGGAGGCCTTAGGGATCCGCAAGGTCGGGTTCTGAGAGGACCGGGCCGTGATGTGCCTGAGACTGCCATCCGAGAGTTATTCGGCTCTCGTCTGCCTGGCAGCATGAAGCATCGCACCCTGACCTCCAGCCCGGCCCTCTGGGCCTCTATCCCGTGTCCACGCTCTGAGCTGCGTCTGGACCTGGTTTTAGCTTCTGGACAGTCTTTCCGGTGAGTGACTACGCCTGGGAGGACCGTTCCCGTGGATGCTGACCCACCAGGAATGTAAAGTATGATGGGAGTGATGGATGAGCGTGCACTTTGGTGTATAAGCACTGGTGGTGAGCCTGTTAACCTCCTTTATGAAGCAGATGTAGTTAGTGAGTGTGCAGGGTTGTGAGGACCAAGTAAAATTCAGTGGGAAAGCTGAGAGATGTAGCTCAGTGGTAAAAGTGCTTACTTTTCATGCACAGGGCTCTAGCTGCAATCCCCTGTTCCTTTTTTTTTTTTTTTTTTTAAGATGGAAAACATACCACTTTTACTTTGTAACTTATAAGTCAGTTTTGGGGTGGGACATTTGTAAGACATGGGGGCCCTTAAAGAGCGCAAGATGGGTAACTGAGTGTTAGAGCTCTCTACTGGGGTGCTCAGGTGGAGGGAGCAAAGCCCTGCACACTGGAGTGGCGTTCTGGCAGATCAAGTATGGACACTGACTCAGACCGAGGAGCAGCTCTATTGCACTGTGTACCGAGGAGACAAGAGCCAGGTCGGCAGGCCCACCCTAGAAGAGCTGGAAGCCTTACACAAGTACTTTCAGCTGGATGTCAGCCTGGCTCAGCTGTATAGCCACTGGGCTTCTGTGGACTCCCACTTCCAAAAAGTGGCTCAGAAATTCCAAGGTGAGTACAAGGAGCAGGGATTGTGACTTTTGTACATTGGTTAAGTTACAGCTCTGTGACTTAGTTTGCCATCTGTAAAATAGAGAGAGGGGGCCAGCGAGATGGCTCAGCAGCTAAAGGCACTTGTCATGCAAGCCTGATGACCTTGTGTTTAATTCCCAGAACCCATAGTGGAAGGAGAACCAATTACCAAAAGTTGTTCCTCTAACCTCCACTCAGGAACCATGGCTCTCATTATGCCCACACTCATGTACACATAACAAATAAATGAAATTTACTTTTTAAGTGATTAGACCAGTACTTAGTACATCGATGCTGTTGTTACAGAAATGATGATTTCCACAGTGAATAATAAGATATGGGTCCTTAATTCTAGCTATGTGTCCTGGAGCAGATGACATCATTCTGTCATTGTATACAAAAGAGCATTTGTTGCTTGGGGCTGTAGGAAGGAAGAAAATGGACACAGAGCCCTGCTCTTGTGGTACCTGCATTGTGGCTCTTTTTTTTCCCTCAGTGAAATGAGATGGTCACTTAGACCTCACAAAATGCCACAAGACATGAGAGATCTAGCATTGATTTCTCTCCCTCATTCTCCTGGGTCTCCCTGGACCATCTAAATATAGTGTCTGATGTGGAGGGTATTCAAGGAAGCCAATCCTAAAACAGGTGTGTCTCCTACCCCCTGCCTTTCTGATTTCTAGGTGTGAGACTGCTAAGACAAGACCCCACGGAATGCCTTTTCTCCTTCATCTGTTCCTCCAACAACAACATTGCTCGAATCACTGGCATGGTAGAACGGCTGTGCCAGGCCTTTGGACCTCGACTCATTCAGCTTGATGATGTCATTTACCATAGCTTCCCCAGCCTTGAGGCCCTAGCTGGTGAGTAGGTAGGTCCCCTTGTCATTTGGATAGAAAGACCTGTTCCATTCTCCCCAAGCTACCAGCTCCTATCTCAGAGCTCCCCACCATTCCAAACACTGTCTCCAGCCAAAATCACCATACTTGGTCTGATCAGTTCCAGTTACAACTCATCTTCAGATTTCATCCCAGAAACATCAGCATGTTCCTAGTTGGATATTTGCCAGTATATTGGTACCTCATTAGAGAAACATCTGTACACAGAGTTCAGTAGCTTAGGGTTACAGGCATATGATCTGAGACATACTGCCTAGATCTGAATCCTCGCTCTCACAGTTGTAAATGTTACTTAGCATGTGTGTGCGTTTCAGTCCTGAATCTGTGAAATGGAAAATATTACCTATTCTGTCAGAATCATGAGAATTGAATAATGGGGAGATACATCCTGCATTTAGCAATTTTGGCACACAGGAAATCAATGGGAATTTTAAGCTGCTGTCACTATAGTGAACCCTACTCACTTATCCATTAAGGCAAGTACATTGGTGACTTGGTGAGGGCTTAGGGACTAAATAGCAAGGAGCCTGACTTGGGTACATTCTCAAACAGGGGAGTGGAGTGTTTTTTGGTGCTAAGAAGGGTCTTAAGTCTCTGCTCTTGGCATAAGAATTTTAAGTCTTTGCTGGAAGGTGGTGGTGCACGCCTTTAATCCCAGCATTCGGGAGGCAGAGGTAGGTGGATATCTGAGTTTGAGGCCAGCCTGGTCTACAGAGTGAGTTCTAGGACAGCTAGGGCTACATAGGGAAACCCTGTCTCAGAAAATAATAATCGTAAGTCTTCAAGGAATTCATTTACCTCTCTAAGCTTGGCTTAACTTATTTATAGAATGGGAATATCCGTTTCTATTTAGAAGGGCTTGGGGGTGAATAAATCAAAGGTGAGGTAGGCACTCCTGTCTCCACATGAGTGAGAGATCCTATCTCAACCAGGCCCTTTCTTTGTGTTGGAGGGGTGGAGGCCGATGGGGGAGTAGGTAGGCAGTGCTTGCATGTATGTATGCATGTTCATGAATGCATGTGTTTGTGGAAGCCAGGGATCAACGTCAGGTATTTCCCTCAATCTCTCTTAGTTTTTTTGTTATTATTTTTTTAAATATGTATTTTATGAATGTTTTCCCTGCATGTCTACAAGTACACAATGTGCACATGCCTGGTGTCCACAGAGGTCAGTAAAAGGTGTCAGATCCCCTAGAACTAGAGTTACTGATGGATGCAAGGTAACATATGGATGCTAAGAACTGAAGCCTGGTCTTCTGCAAGGGCAATAGTGCTCTTAATTGCTGAGCCATCTCTCCAGCCCACTTAGCTGCCCTCTCTGTAAAATGGGCAGCACAGTGGTGCTGTCCCTGGGACCCTTAAGAAAACACATTGTACTTTGCCAGTCAGTGTGTGACACAAACAGAGCCCTTTCTGTTATTACCATTATTCATAAATTTACTTGTGAGTGTGTATGCGTACAAGTGCAGGTACACACATGAAGATCAGAAAGCAACTTTTCAGAAGTCAGTTCTTTGAGGCAAGTCTCTTATTTCTGTCACTGAGCTGCATATCCAAGCTGCCTGGCCTGTGAGCTTCCAGCAGATTCTCCTGTCTCTGCCTCCCATCTCACCTTACGAATGCTGGGATTACAGATGTGAACCTCTCCATCCGGATTTTTATGTGGGCTCTGAGGATCAGACTCAAGTCATCAGGCTTATGCAACAAGTGCAATTTACCTGCTGAGCCATCTCAAACATCTGCATCAGGTTTTTAGGCCATGGATGTGAACGCTTCTTGAATAAAGCTAAAGAGCTCAAGTGGGGGTTCCTCCAGAGCAGGAGGCCTCACCCCTGCTTCAGAGCCCAACACAGAGGAGATTTTTACAGGAAACATTTACAGGGCCAGAACTCAAATCTTAACTGTCTCCTTTTCACATCCAACTGTCTAGTGACTCCTAGAGGACAGTAAATAAGGGAGAAGTGCCTAGAAAAGCATTGGGGTGGAGGATATTATACACTAGCCTGAGAACAGGAACAAAATGAGCATACCTGACCCCTCCTTTCCTCTCTATCCCCACAGGTCCAGAGGTAGAAGCTCACCTCAGAAAGTTGGGTCTAGGGTACCGGGCCCGTTATGTATGTGCCAGCGCCAAAGCCATCCTGGAAGAGAAAGGCGGGCTGGCTTGGCTGCAGCAACTTCGAAAAGCCCCGTATGAAGAGGCCCATAAGGCTCTCTGCACTCTGCCAGGGGTGGGCACCAAGGTGAGGCCCCAGAGACACAGGACATGCCCTCTTCTCCACACTGAGAGTATGACAGGTGGAAACAAGGCAGACCTGAGTATCCCAGGGAGCCTGATACACACACACACACACACACACACACACACACACACACACAGCTGGAAGAAGTACAAGGAGGACAAAGGACTAGAAAATTTTTTATCAGAGACAAAAGCAGTGAGTATAAGAGAGGTTGCCCCGGGCTGGAGAGATAGCTCAGCGGTTAAGAGCACTGCCTGCTCTTCCAAAGGTCCTGAGTTCAATTCCCAGCAACCTCATGGTGGCTCACAACCATCTGTAACGAGATTTGGTGCAAACACTGTACACATAATAAATAAATCTTTTAAAAGAGAAAGGGGGGGGGGAGGCTGCCCTTTGGATAAACTCTTAGAAAGGTGCTTTGTGTCAGTGCATTTATGTGCACTACTGTATGGATGCAGAAATTTCCAGAGGAAGAACAGGAAAGTTAATACTGGTTACTTTTGGAAAGACAAATGGAAAGATGTTTCTATTTTTCATTTTTTTTTCTTGAAATTATATGTGCTCACAGAATGTTTTGTTATTGTAAATAGATATATCTAGCAGATAATTGGAATTTGGAATTTGTATTCTTTATACTCCTCTGTGGCTTAGAATGAATTTTCAGGAGCTGGATAGATGGCCCAGAGATTAAGAGCACTTGTTGCTCTTCCAAAGGACCCAAGTTAGGTTCCTGGCACCCATGTTAGGTGGCTTACAATCACTATCTCTCACTCCAGTCCCAGGGGATCTGATGCCCTCTTTTAGTTTCCATGAGCACCTGAACACACATCACATCACACACACACACACACACAAGACAAGTCTTTAAAAAAAAGTAAATAAATTTTTGGTTCTGGTCACCAAGCCCGACATCCTGAGTTCAATACCTGAGACCCACATGGTGGAAGGAGAAAACTAACTCCCATAGTTGGCCTCTGACCTCCCTCTGACCCTTGCCCCATGAATGGATAAATATATGCAATTTTTAAAATTGATTTTCAAAAATTTAAAAAAACTATACATGTGTATTTTGTCTGTATGTATGTTTGTTTACCACTTGCATATATGGCTTGAGGAGACCAGAAGAGGGTATCAGATCTTCTGGAGTTACAGATGGTTGTAAGCCACCATGTGGGTGTAAATAATTGAACCTGGGTCTTCTGAAAGGGCAGCCCGTGTTAACTACTGAGCCATCCCTCCAGCCCCATTGAATTTTTAATGAAGCCAGACAGTGGTGGCACACGCCTTTAATCCCAGCACTTGGGAGACAGAGGCAGGCAGATCTCTGAGTTCAAGGCCAGCCTAGTCTACAGAGTGAGTTCCAGGACATCAGGGCTACACAGAGAAACCCTGTCTCAATAACAACAGTGACAAAAAAAAGAGATTAATGGACTGGCATTAAGTCTTGGCACTGCCTAATTTCTGTGTGGTTTTGGCCAAGACACTTACCCTTCATAGCCCCAGTTTTCTTCCTCTTTTTTATTTTTTGAGGCAGGGTTTCTCTGTGTAGCCCTGGCTGTCCTGGAACTCACTCTATAGACCAGGCTAGAGAGAGCTGCCAGCCTTTGCCTCCAGAGGGTTAGGATTAAAGGTGTGCACCACCACCACCTGGCTGAGCCTCAGTTTTCCTGTCTCTAAAAAGAGTATGGTCATACCTTATCCCCAGGTTGTATGAGAGTATGGCCTACACAGGTGTTCACTCTGGAACAGGTCTTCCTGAAGCTATTTTTAGAAGTAATGGTAATTACTGCATATTAACTGAAAATGCAGATCAGTGCTACCTTAGTAGAAGGAGGAAGCAGATGGCTTTGGATGCTTGCCAGATCCTGCCATTCCTCCACAACAGTTCTCTTTTTGTCAAAGGTGGCTGACTGCATCTGCTTAATGGCCCTTGACAAACCCCAGGCCGTGCCTGTGGACGTCCACGTATGGCAGATCGCCAAGCATGACTACGGCTGGCACTCTACCACATCCCAAGCTAAGGGCCCGAGCCCCCTGGCCAATAAAGAACTGGGTGAGGAGATTGTGTGATGCTGGGATGTTGGGCTGAGGTTGGAGAATCTCTGCTTTCTTAATCATCTCTCCCACATTCCCCATCTGAGGATGGAGGGCATGTGGATTAATGTAGCCTCCTCACTTCTTATAACTTAGGAAACTTTTTCCGGAATCTGTGGGGACCTTATGCTGGCTGGGCTCAAGCAGTAAGTATACCTAGTTCAGACCCTAAAGGACTTCTCCCTCAGCCCTGCTTGACCCCTGAACTCTTCAGCCACCTGTTCTCATGACTCCCACTCCCACCCTCTCCCCAAATAATCCATTGACCCCAGCTCTGCCCTCAGCCTCCGCTCCTCCCATAGACTCGGTATGCCTCTTCCCATAGGTGCTGTTCAGTGCTGATCTGCGCCAACCAAACCAGGCTCGGGAGCCGCCAGCAAAGCGCAAGAAGGGGCCTAAGAGTCCAGAAGGCTAGGTAGGACCCAGGGGACAAAAGATGTCATTGGTATCTTTCCCAATGTTCTCCACATCTCTCCTCTATCCCCACCCAGTTTCATGTCAAGAAGACTCTCCACTCCTACCTCAGACAGCCAGCACCCCCAAATCAAGCAGTCAGGTTTATAGCAGGGGCAAGGGAGCTGTTTGAGAAAACAGAGCTGTCTTGTTTTATCTTCCCTTTATTACAAGAAGGAACAATAAAATAGAAACATTTGTATGGAAAATGCAGTGAAGAGTGAGAGGAAGGGGTGAGGGGGTATGGGGTAAGAAACTCCCCAGTTCTGGGGTGAGGAGGAAGCAGGCTGCCCCCAACCCCTCCCATGAAAGGAACCCTGATTTCCTTGGTGTTCAGTCCATGGCCCTAGAGCTTGGGGGTGGTGCAGGGGGCAGTTCCGAGCCTGGCTCCACACAGCAGTCTCGGCAGCAACAGCCAGCTGCTGGCCCTGTGTGGAGAAAAGAGCTCCAGCTTCAGCCTTAGGTTTCTCCATGGACCACCTGACCCCTTCCACACGACCCTGGTTCTCACCCCCAGCTGTTGGTGTCAGCTGCTCCCCATGACTGGCTGGCTGTCCTTGCCCCTCCTGGCTGGTGCCCAGCTGAAGCTTCCTCATGTGCCGAACCACAGCTGTGGCGTTGAAAGCTTGCTGTGGGAAGAGAGGAAGGGGGACTGCTGAAAAGGTACCTCAAGGGCTAGGGGTTGGCAGTAGGAGTCTCGCAGTGATTCTGCTGTTTGCATTCCCACATCCCTTAGTGACTTCCTAAGTCCTCCCAAGGAAACTGTAAGACACATGTGTAAAATGTGTACCAGGGAATTCATATTCCTGTAACAAACACTTAGGTGTCAAACACAGCTCTGAGCATGTTTCATGGTTATTCATTTATCCTCACAAAATTCTGTGAGGCAGCACTTTTGTGTTGTTTCTGTTTTTAAAAAGATAGTCTTGCTATGTATCCTTGCCTCAGCCTCCAAAGTGCTGGGATTACAGGCATATGTATGCTACACACCAGGCCAACGAGCACTGTTTGTTTGTTTGTTTGTTTGTTTGTTTGTGACAGGGTCTCATTATGTAGCATTGACTGTCCTGGAACTCACAGAGATTGGCCTGCTTCTGACTCACAAGTGCTGAGATTAAAGGTGTATGCCACTGCACCTGGCTCTGACAAGCACTATTCATAGCATTAATTTCTTTCATTTTTTTTTTAAGATTGGTTCTCATGTAGCCCAGGCTGTCCTCCACTTCTACCTCTATCTCCCGAGTCCTGGGATTATAGGCATGTGTACCACTATGCCCAGTTTTATGGGATGCTAGTGACCCAACCGGGGGTTTCATGCATGCTAGGCAATCGCTGCCTACTGAACTATATACTCACCTCCCCCCTTTCTGAGACAAGGTTTCATGTATCCCAGGCAAGCTGACCTTGAATTCCTGATCCTTCTGCCTCACCCTCCCCAAGTGCTGGAATAGCATTAATTTCAAAGGAGAAAACTGAAGTACAGAAAGGTTAAGTAATTTATATACTTGTTTCTCTCATTTTATATTCAACTTATTCACCTAGATGTCCTATGTGTCTCTCAAGTTGACCATGTCCAAAACTAAACTCCCCTCAAGACATGTTTCTGCCCCTAGGATTATTATCATGATTATGGTACCACTGTCCACACTGTCCCCAGCCAGAAGTTTGGGCCAGCTCTTAACATCTCACTCCTTCAGTATGCCTCTCCTCTTTGTTTTCTTGAGTCTATCTCCTGTTTTCAGTCATCCTGTATTCTTCTTGCTGCTTCTGAGTCAAGCCCCACTATCTGCTGCATCTCTGACACATCCTATTGGGCCTCCCAGGCTTCCCTCCTTGCCTTCTCTGCATCCTGAAAGCAGATCTTTCCTCAGGACCAGTTCCTGCTTTCTGTCTTTCTGGGATCATTCTATACAACAGGTGGGTGCCCCACTGTAGCATTCAAGGATCCCAGTGGCCTTTATCAGCTTCTGCAGCCTAGGCTCTTGACAATTAGTTTCCTTAGTTCCTCCAGCCTCTCTAGTCCAGAGGGCTTAGCACTTGGCCATACTCTCTTAGCCTGGCCTCTTTGCACCCCTGTTCCCTCTGCCTCAGGAAATTCTCTGTGCCTGGTTAATTGCTAGTCAACCAACAGATCTGTGGCTACCTTTCTGGCCCTTGTGTTCCATGGGATTCATCATATGAATCTTGGAGAGTAGACTGTCCCTCTAGAGATGGAGCTCAGGGACCCTCTGTGGACTTTAGAGGTCAGATGGCCTTTGTTGAGTGAACAAAAGGAGATTTTTTGGAAAACCTCCCTGGGTAGGTCCTGGATGCTGTGCAAGTAAAGTCTGGGGAGAACTGGGATTAGGAGTGTATGCTGACCTTCCACTTGCTCTTGGCAAAATTCTTCTTGATCTGCTCGCTCACTGACTGGTGGATATTCTTATCCAGAGCTGTATCTCCTGCAATCCTAGGATGGGGGTATATGCAGGTTTGTTTGTAAGGCTGAAGGCAGGCCTGGGGCCTCCAGGTCCCACCCTCACACTTTGTTTGGAGTGGGAGCTCTCACCATGGGTGCTGCAAGGCTTGCTCACAGGTGAACCTCTTCTCCGGGTCTTTCTCCATCAAGTGCCGTATGAAGTCTTTGGCTGAGGTCCCAAGACAAAAGCAAAGACACAGCATGACCATACCTGTGGATACCTCCAAGACAGTGCTTACTCCCTCAGATCTCACCTGGCAATAAGGCAAGACAACAAGGCCTAGTCTGCTTATACACCACCCCCCACACTCCAGCCTTCTAGTTCCCTCCTTTCTTGAGAACATATTTACAGAAGGATCCACTCGGTGCACTCACACTAGTGTGTAAACCACTTGCAGCCATCACAAGCTAGTCCCTAACTGGGACATGAAATGGGAGATGGAAATATTGATGCTGTTTAAGCCTCAGGGAAGTCAGCCTTAGGGGAGGGATTTTTGTAACTACTATGTTTGAAGACTGAATGAATGCATATAGATCTGTCCAATTAGGGACCAAGCAGAGGAAACCCAAGGTGAAACATGATATCAGCTTCTAGTCTGGTACTAGGAGACATGACAGAAGACAGACAGTGGGGAGACCCCTAGAGCAGATGAAGAAGTCCCCTGATGCATAGCCTAGACAAAGAAGGCAAAAGACCCAAATACCAGAGTCAGAGATGTCGTCCCAGTAAGGAGAGTCAAACTCATACTCAGCCTTCAAAATCTGTTCAAAGAGTTTGGCATCATTTTCATCGTAGAAAGGTGGGTAGCCACAGAGCCTGGGCAGAGAAAAATCCGTCATGTCAGCTTCAGATGTACTCATTGGCTTAGAGATGGAGCGTTGGGGTAGTGCCGAGAACCAGACAGGACCCACAGGAAGTTCTCTTCCTTGCTTTGCTCATTTCCTTCTGCCAGTCTGGCCTTCTGTCCTTTGAACCTACTGTCCTAAGTACCTTTGTGTTTGACATTCTACCCACGCCTAAATTGTCTGGATCCTTTACATCATTCAAAGCCACTCAGATGTCACCTCCCCAAAGAGCCTTTGACTATCTGAAATGACATCTCTCCCCATCTCCTACTCGGCTTGACTTTTCTTCACTGATTTTTACCAGGTGACACTATAGATTTGTTTACTCATTGATACTCTCTCTGTGTCAACTCTTAAGGGCAGGCACATGGTTTGGTTTGGTTTCTACTAAATCCTCAGTGCTTCCCACAGTGCTGGAAACATGGCATCACTTGAATGAAGCCTGTTAGGTTTCTGTTGTTGTTTTGTGTGTGTGTGTGTGTGTGTGTGTGTGTGTGTGTGTGTGTGTGTGTGTGTGTGTGTGTGTTGTGTGTGTGTGTGTGTGTGTTTTGTGTGTATATATGGGTGTTTTGCCTGCATATAAGTTTGCACCATGTGTATGTACCTACAGAGACAAAACAAAGCACCAGATCCCCTGGAACTGGAGTCATAGACAGTTGGGAGCTATCATGTGGGTGCTGGGAAATGAACCTGAGACCTCTGGATGAGCAGCAAGCCCTCTTAACCACTGAGCCATCCTCTCCATACCCCTGTGTGTTAGTATTTAGCTCGTATGTATATGTATAGGAGAGGACAAAGCAGGGAAGACAATTCTAATCACAGGCCACCCTGCCCATGCCCCACTTACAGGATATAGGCAATGACTCCTATGGACCAGCAGTCTACGGCCTTGCTATAGGGCTTCTGGGCCAGGACCTCAGGTGCTGTGGAGAGAAGGGGACATTGTGGTGACAAATGTCTATCCTGCATCTCCTGGCTCCTTCCTCATCCCCAGCCCCAACCTAGGGCCCTCCGCACCCACGTATCCTGGAGTCCCACAGGCTGTGGAGAGCACACTGCCTGGGTCCTCCATCTTGGAGAGGCCAAAGTCGGAGATCATGATTTTGGAGTCTTCATCCAGGCTGTAGTACAGCAGGTTCTCTGGCTTGGAGGGTAGAAAAAAAGAGAAGGGGCAGTCAGAGGTAGCAGAGGCTAGCAGCACTGTCTGCTTCTGCTAAATTCATGAGAAGCTAGCTAGCAGACACAGTCTTTCATGCCTGCTGATCTAACACTTGGGAGGCAAAAGCAGGCGGATCAAGAGTTCAGTGCCTTCTTGGCTAATATTGAGTGCAAAGCCCAGCCTGACATATACAAAACCCCGTGTCAAGAACAAGCGGCAAAAGCCTGAATCCTAGCTATTTCAGTGGCTGAGTCAGGGAAATGACATCCGTCAGTTCAAGACTAGCCTGGGCAGTTTAGAACCTGCCTCAGAATAAAAAGAAGAAAGAGGAATGGAATATATGTAACAGGAAAGCAGAAGGGAGACTAACTGAGGAAGAAAGGGAGGAGGGGGACATGGAAGAGGAAGGAAGTATAGCGACAACTACGTGAACCTAAAAAATTGGTAACAAAGGAAAAGCAATGGGATAGACAAAAGAGACTTTTAACGGGGGGGGGGGGGGGGGGCCCGGGGGGGTAGAGCACTTGCCTAGCATCATACATAAGGCCCTAGGTAAACAAGCAGTATCAAACAAACAAACAAACAAAACCAAGGACATTCTCTAGAAGGCCACAAGGGATTGTGGGATTTTCGTAGACCTCAGAAACCTTGCAGAAACCCCCAGTACCACAAAAAAAATTTACTTTTTACCTCCTACCCTGGACCTTGAGTAAGTACCTGACTGATTTTAACCATACCCCATAAACAGCCTGGCCAGTCTGAACAAGCCCACTTTATTTTTATTTTTATATATTTATTTACTTTCTTACTTACTTGTTTATTTTTTGGTTTTTTGAGACAGGGTTTCTCTGTGTAGCTTTGGAGCCTATCCTGGCACTCACTCTGGAGACCAAGCTGGCCTCAAACTCAGAGTCCCCCCTGCCTCTGCCTCCCGAGTGCTGGGATTAAAGGCATGCACCACCAATGATCAACCCAACAGCCAGTTAGGGCGTGGCTAGTCTTCAGACCAAAGTCTGTTATGTCCCAGAGCGCCTGTCCATTCTGTACTAGAGGGTATTTCTTCTCTCTCTCTCTCCTTTCGTTCAGTTGGATTTTTTTTGTTTTGTTTTGTTTTCATTTTTTTGAGATAGGGTTTCTCTGTGTAGCCCTAGGTGTCTTGGAATTCACTCTATAGAAAGGCTGGCCTTGAACTCAGATCTGCCTGCCTGTGCCTCCCAAGTGCTGGGATTAAAGGCGTGTGCCACCCTACTTGGCTTAGACTAAAGTGTATTTCAATGTAAGCCCCTATTCATATCTCTGAAGCTTTGCTGTTCCACTAGTTCTCTACAAAGAACAAGTAGGATGTTTCATTATCAGAAAAGGACATGTGTGTTGTTAAAGTAAAATAACAGCCCAGCCCACTTGTTTTGTCCCTCTCAGATCTGAAATAAGAGGCGTTGGTTTAATGGGTCACAAGAAGTTCATTTTGCAAATGGGTAGCTGAGGCTCCAGTGAGGGGCTGAGAGATGCCCAAGGACAGACAAGGCCCCTCAGAGCTCACCTTGAGATCTCGATGCACGATACCCAGGTCGTGCAAGTACTTGACAGCATCCAGCACCTGGAAGATGAGGCGGCTGGCATCCCGTTCTGTGTAGAATCCTTTCTCCACAATGCGGTCAAATAGCTCCCCACCTGAAACCCTGCAGCAAGGGACAGGGAAGTCTGGCCAAGAAAGTAGGGGAGCAGGGAGAGGAATAAGGGTGGGCAGACAGGCCACTCACAGCTGCATGATGAGGTAGAGGTGGCCCCCACTCTCATAGATGTCATCCAGGGCTACAATGTTGGGATGTTTAATCCTAGAAGGAGAAATGAGGTGGTTCAGAGCTTAGAATGACTTGCACACTCCCCAGCATCTGCATCCAGGGCAGGACACCAAGATTCTGGAACCCACTGGGGGAAAGCTGATGGTGGAAGGTAAGAGCAGAAAAATAAGCACTGGGTTCTGGTGTCAGACAGACCTAGGCCCATATGCTGCTCCTGCCTAGACATATCTGGGACTAGATTCTGATTCTGCCCAGACAGACCCACACCCAGATCCTGCCTCTGCCATGTGCTGCTTGGGTGCTAATATTTTCACTTTACAACTCTAATGGGAATTTGACTTCTAAGTTTCCCGTGTTTACACTTCTGCCAGCCTCTCTTACCCACAGGGTCACTTCCTCAAGTATAGGGAATGTCTAGTTCAGCTCTAATCTATCACCAGATGCAGAGTAGCTGCTTGTAATATTTATTGAATGGAATGTCACCTCTCTGAGCCTGAGTGTCTTCATCTATAAAGACAAGTAACAGACCTTCAAAAAGTCACCTGAAGACCACATGATGTAAGGCAAGCAAGCTGTCTTATGACACATGTCTTATGACAGACAGCATCTGCCTACAGTCAGTGCCTCAGAGATGACCAATTACAGTTGGTCTTGGTGGTAAGGAAGACCTGGCTCTCCTACAGACTTGCTGTGTGACTTTGGGCAAGTCTCTTGCCCTTGCTGACCTCATTACCCCACCCAAATAGAGGAGAAGAAATAACTATCTCCTCTGTCCCGATAGTTAGGAAATGGGAGGCACTGGAAGCAAATGCTTGCTAGAAGCTTTGCAGCATGACCTGGTTTCCTGAAAGCATGAACAATGAACATACCAGTTGGTTGCTAATTTAGTCAGGGGTTAGCAAATAGATAGTCTGTTCTACTGCATGAGAGAAGCTTGGGTGGGTAGGGAGCTATGTGGGTATTTGACCTTGTGGCCCCATGAACAGATTCATCCTCTATAAACAAGCCCTGGCATCTCAGTCTCATCTAGGAGGTTAGCTCTGTGCCAATCACTCCCATGCCAAATAGAAGTCCTTATCCTGTGAGGCCCAGAAGTCAAAGGGTTTCTAAAGCAGTGAAACAAGGGTGGGGTGTGTCAGTACAGGGCCCACATACTTGTGCAAGACGGCGATCTCATTCTCCATGCTGCCCTCTTTGCCCTCCAGGGCCTTCTTGGCAATGCATTTGATGGCCACCAGCTTCTGAGTCCTCTTGTCCTCTGCCAGGATAACCTCTGAGAAGGCACCCCTGTGAGATAAAGGTTTGCAAGGTGAGGAGCTAGAATCCCAGCTTCCCTTGCTCTCTCCTCCATCCCCTGTAACCTGCAGGATCACCTATGTCTTTCGGCACTCATCTACCCTCTAGCTTCAGAGGTGGTCACATAAGCCAAATTTAGTCGTCTGTCCCTTGGCTCAGTAACTGGTCACATGTATACCAGTTTCCTGGCACTGTGAATGAGGTACTCTCCTAGTAAGTGGAGTGGATGGCAGGTATCTTTGTGCTTTGGGAGAGTCTGCTTCAAACTGATGCCAATCAGAGGAAGCCAGGCTGAGGAAATAGACAATTTTCTGATAACATGTGAGCCAACTGGTGAACTCTACCCCTGTGATATTTGAGTGTGTGTGTGATTGATTGATTCTTTTTTCTGTTAAAGTCAGTTTGAGTTGTGGGTAATGTAATGCCCTTTAGAACTTCAGAATTAGACTGTTACCTGAGAATGTTTTGAAATGCAGAATTTCAGGTCTTATCCACCACAGACTTCCTAAATCAAATGCTGTATTTTAACTAGGTCCATGGATGATTTATATACTCAATGAGTTTAAGGAGCAGGGACTTATCCCAGACTCATAGCAACAAATAAATCCATTCATACTGGCACTCACTGATCAAGGAGGATCTGCTAGGGTATTATCTTTGTTTCTATTTGCTTTCTCTGGAAGAATAAAAAGTCCTAAGTCAAAATCATCCCTGGTGGTAGCATTCCAGTCACTGAGGACAACTGGTGACTGATCACATCACTGGTTTCCATTCTTGGCTCTCCAGTTTGCCCCCACACTGGCTAGTCTTTTGTTTTGTTTTGTTTTTCAGATTTATTTAATTTGTGTATGAGGGTTTTGCCTCCATGTATGTCTGTACCACATGCATAACTGGTGCCCCATAAAAGTCAGAAAAGGGCATCAGAGCCCCTGGATGGATCTGGAGTTACAGATGCTTGGGAGCCACCATCAGTGCTGAGAATTGAACCTAGTCCTCTGTGAGAACAGCTAGTGCTCTTAACTGCTGAGCCATCTCTCCAGCACCTATACCCAGTCTTAAATGCCTTCCTCTATCCTGTGAAATGGCCTCTTCCTCAGCCTGTTCTCAAGGTTTTGCATTCTCTGCCCCTTTCCATCTCTTGCTACTTCAACTCCTCCCAGCCCTAACTCTGAGCTCCAGCAGATTCTGCCTCTCTTTGGTAGCCTGGCCTCTGAGCCTTTGCATGCACTGTTCCCCTGCCTTGAATTACTGTCCTTCTTTCTGACAAGCACAAGCCTGTCCATCTTACTGTCAACCCCCAGATCTCATATCTCCTTCAGGGAGTGTTCTCCAGCCTGAAGAGACTACTCAGCCTCTACAGCCCCAGTAAGATCGTAATATACATCTACCTGCCCTTTTGTGTCTGTCTGTCTGTCTCTCCAGGACCAACTTGTAAGGGGAAGAAACCTGGTTTGAGTTAAATTTGGATTCCCACCATCAAGAACAGCCATGTCCACCCTCTGTTTCCAAACACCCACTCTTGGCAGCAAGATGGATAAATGACTCTTTCATTCACCTGTACTTCCTTCTCTTCATAAGGAGTCTTTGGCTATAGGAGAGGCCCCATCTTACCCACATCAGCCAAAATCAAAAAGCTGGACTGGTCTACACCATGCCACAGCCCTAGGCTGTTGGAAAAGGGAAGTGCTTGCTGGTCAACTGACCAGAGGAAGAACCACCCAGACTCAGCCTCTCCAGCCATCAGGCCCAAGAGTGAAGCCCTTCCCAATTCTGTCCCCAGCTCAGACATCGCTCCACCACCTCACCCCCACCCTGAGACTCACGTGCCCAGAACATCTCGGAAGTCATAAATATCCCTAATGTCTTCTGCCTGCTTCCACCTGGGGCCTTCCACTTCCCCTGGCATGGCCCACTGCCCTCCAGCCACAGCCAGGGCTCCTGGAAGGGAAATGGGGGCAGATATTAAGAGGGTCTAGCAACTCTGAGAATCTATTGTGTGTCCCATGACTATTCAGCCAACACAAGTTCATTCATTCCTTGATCTACTCATTGACACAGTCGTTCAGCCTTCACCAGCCATTTGCTCATTCAACAACATTGGTTTGAAAATTCTTATGCCTAGAAAAAAAAATCATTCCTGGTAACAGCAAAATTCTCAATATGCATTCCTTCACTTCTTCATTCTCCATTTAGCCCCAATCTTTCTCTGAATCCTAACACCCAAGAAAACCCTCCCCCTTGAGAGAGATAGCCGATAAGACCACAGAGCAGCTAGGAGCAGCACCCTAGAGGAACCCTCTGCCCAGAAGCAGTGATGCCTCAGTCTCATCCTAGGAAGGTCTGGGGTGTCTCCTCTCCCTCCTCCTCACCACCCTAGCCTCTCGGAAATCAGGTTTCCGGCAGCCTGGGCTTCCAGCAAATATCTCAGCCACGTTTTTAAATAGCTCTTTCTCACTGTTACCAAGGCAACATCAGCCACAGCTGGAACTCCCCAGGCCTAGCCCTCCTGACTCCTGTCTGTCCCAGCAGCCTGAAAACTGGTCCCACCCGTCCCCTCCTGGTCTGACCTTATGTATCCTGGACCTTTCCCTAGACTTCTGTCTCATGCTACAAGAGAGGGTAGGTTCTCTCTCCATGTATTATGTGAAAAATAGGAAACTGAGGTTAGGAAACTGAGGTTGGAGATGGATAGGGTGAGTCCAAAGTTGCTCAAGAGACACCCTGCCATGGTCCCAGCTAAGCTTGCTAAGGGCAAAGGCTATCTTCTGCTGGTCCAATAGAAAGCTAGGCTAGGGATCATTCAGAAAACAATCTCTCAACATCCAAGAATCACAGTGGGCAAGTCCAAATAGAGCCCCTCATGCCACATAGCTCTGGGAAGCTGCCCTCCTTCTGTTCCTCTGGGAAAGATGAAGGCACCCTGACCAGAACTGCCACTCCTTGAACAGGACCTTGTTCCCCAAGCATTGGCCAGCCAGCCATCCCAGGGCCAAAGGTTTCTAAGAAAGGAGCCAATAGTGAATTAAAGAAGTAAAATCAAACTCACCTGAGGGCCAGCACTAATGACTCTCACAGCCCCACATGCTGCAGCAGACACTCCACATCAGGAATTATATGACTCTTGAGCCCAAATACCTGCCTTCTAGACCCAGCACACTACATACACCTGATTATATGCATATACCCAGACATCAACATACATGTTCATATGTTCAGTCCCCAGGCACCCTCATGCTCTCACACTTACCTGTTCATCCAAACACCCCTCACCCAGACCCCTTACCTCCAATACTGATTCCATGCACACATACCAGTCTTGGCAACTTCAATCCTATCTACACACTCCAACTCCTCTGTCCAGTGCTCTACACAGCAAACCAAGACATAACTCTACCTAACTCAAAACATTCTCAGAACAGAACCAAACCTCCCCCCGACTCTGAGTGCCTGCAAGCCAGACACTAGTGTGTGTGTGTGTGTGTGTGTGTGTGTGTGTGTGTGTGTATCCTTGAACACCATGTACAACAAAAAATGAATTCCCAGACACCCTTACACAACTGAAGCACATGCCTGCTTCAGGGAACCCCTCACATGCCCTCCCCCATCTACACTTCCAAATGCCCACGCCCTTCCAGTCCGGCCTAGCGCTTTGGCTATGCGCGCGCGCGCGCGTAGCGCCCCTCCGCACCCTGTTCTGACACACAGGCAGTATCCCTGGAGGTCACCTAGCACCTGATGGGCCTGGGACAGAGGTGGGAGAAAAAGGCCCAGCCCTATATTTAGTCCAGGGTCCAGGTGCCCCTCCCACCCTTAGGCTTCAGTACGCTGTGGCTGGGGCTCCCAGAGGCACAGAGCAAGGCAGACCCCAGCTGTACCTGCGGCTGCCCCGCGTCGGGGCTGGCTGGGAGGGCCAAGGAGGCTGGTGAAGAGCTCCCGCCGCGTCTGTGCCTGGTCAGCCTGCCTGCTCCGTCGCTGGCGCTTGGCTGAGGCTCGGCTCTCTTGGCCCGCCTGCGGCTCTGATGTCAATGGAGGAGGAGCCTGAGGCACAGGTCCTGGGGATTGGGAGTGGAGGGGATGCGCGCTCTCGGACTGTTCTACTACAGCCCCTGCAACATACTTCCTTGCCCCTTGGTCTTCAGCAGGACTCTTGTCAGCGGAGACAAGCGAGGTCCATAGATGTCTTGAAATCAGCAGTTAGTCAGATGCAGACGGTATTCGAACCGACATTTATGAGATGCCAGAGGCTGGCCAGTTTGAACATGATGTAACAATTCTGGGACCTCCCTTAGGGTCCTTAGGTTTCTATCCTTTCTGTCCCCACCTTCTAGTGGTTAAAGGGAGCTAGGCCCATGGAAGGTTCAGAAGACTAGAAAGGGGCTGGTGAAATTAGCTGCAAAATCCCATTTGATAGACAGGTAAACTGAAGCCCCGAGTCAGCGGAAACAGTGGCCCTGATCTCTTACTCTTGCAGGTACTCTGCTCAAAGCGACCAGGGAAGGAGGTGGGAAGGGGGAAGTGGAGTTAAATCTGGATCCTTAGGGAAGCAGGCCAAAGAGGACCACAGTGCCATGTGACAGGCTGGTGGCTGGGAGCCAGGATGGGGAGGGTGGAGTAAATCTGCTCCTGAGGCTGCAGGCTCCAAGCCAAGGGACCTGACCCGGCTTGGTTTAAGCAAGGCTCTTTGGGAATAAATTGAGCTCAGGCTAGAAGGGGAAGCAACTGGCAGTGATTAAAGGTGGGTCTGCCCTGGAGCCAGGCAAAGCAAGCACTTGGCCCCCAACCTGACCTACCTGGAACAGCTCTCCTGGATTCAACCTTTACTTCTCCCAGTTTGGCTGTCCTTTGTCCTGGAGTAGTCAAGCCAGGGAAGTTGCTAGAAGTTTTCAGAGTCTGACCACCCTTACCATGCTCTATCTTTCAGAGCCTCAGTCTCTTCTCCGAGATAGGGAATTCTCTTGAGAGTGCTGTGTAATGTGTGTGTGGTACTTAGAACACTAGTTCAAAACAAGCTGGGTATGGTGGCTCACACAACCTTAGCGCTTCAGAGGCCGAGATAAGTGTGTTGTCAGTTGTTCTAAGCCACTGAGAGTCTCCTTCAAGGGCAGGGAGAGAGGAAAGACAAAACAGGAGATATGGAAATGGCTCAGTGGGTAAGCTGCTCTAGCACACAACCTGAGTTCAAATCCCCAGAGCCCATGTAAAAAGCTGGAGGTGGTCGTGTGCTCCTGCTATCCCAGAGCTGTGGGGAAGCATGCTACCAGCCCAGCTCCAGCTTCAGGGAGCAACACTCTCAAGGGAGTGAGGCAGGCAGTAATAGATCAAGACTCTTGCCATCCTCCTCTGGCTTCCACGGACTTGCACACTCACATACACAAACACACACAAAATGAAGTAAAACATGAGAATAAGATTCAGTATAAACCAGGGCTCGATGAAAAGACCTGATTTGACCACGGTCAGAGGCTAAGGGGTATTTTCTTCCCTCACATCTTAGTGTCTCAGATTCCTAACCCACTTCTGGCCCAGGCCCAAACCTCTTAGCATCCATCCAACATGCTATTGAGCTAGAGAGTAGTGTTAATACAGTTGTGTTTATCTCTGTGACAACACACTGGATGATAAGGTGTCTGTGTGTGAGCTTGCCAGTGTGTATGTGCATCATGCTCATGCAGGAGCCCTTGGAAGACAGAAGAGGGCATCATATACCGTATGTTACATATGAACTGTAGTTACATATGATCATTAGCCTCTGTGTCAGTGCTGGGAACTGAACCCAAGTCCTCTGCAAGAGCAGCAAGTGTTTTTAACCATAGCCGTGTCTCCAGCCCTGCTTTTATTTTGTTGGTACAGAGTTTTGTGTAGCCCAGGTTGACCCCAGATTTGCTATGCGGTCTGAAGATGACCTTGACCTCCTGGCCATCTGCTTCTCCCTGCTTAGTGTTACATTCACAGCCTTAAAACTTGATGTATCATAGCTAGCACAGATCAAAGTACAGCCACCAAGTACCAGGGCATCCGAGACTAGAACCAGACATGCCGAGTTCATGGATCTTCCCTCTCTCCTCTGTGTCTTGATTTCTCTTCCCATGATGACCCCATTTGCAGTACAGAATAATATTCCCTACCTAGCAGAGAAGGGCTCTTGAGTCCCTGAATCTCTCTGTGTAATTGTGTGATGTCGCTACCCTTGGCTTCCAGAATGTTACCAGGGGAATAAGGCATCATACTGGACAAATATTCTATGGTGGGTAGTCAGCCACACACAGGAGAGAACTACCTGGCCTAAAGGAAATGAGAATGCTGGGCAGGCAGAAACAGGGGATCTACTTCAATCTCGTTCCTGTTAGCCACAGATAACCAGGGTAACTTTTTTGGTACCTATTCTTCCAGTATTTTGGATATACATGAATAAGCTTAACTCCTGTTTTAGCTACTTCCAGTGAGTAGCCAAGGACAATCAAATATATGTAGGGGGAAAAAAAGGGACATGATTCTAAAACCTGGAAGAAAGATGAGTCCTTCTTTTTTCTTTGAATTATTTTCTTCCCTTTCTTCTTACCCCCCCCCCCCCCCCCCCCCCCCCCCCCCGCCCCCCCCGCCCCCGCTCCTTTCCTGGTGTTGGAGTTCAGGGCCTTGTCTATATTAGACAAATGCTGTACCACTGAGATACATCCCCAGGTCTTCCATAAATTTTTTAACCCGATGGAGGGTCATTTATTGAAGGGATGAGTGCTTCTCTAACACTAGAGAAAACAGGAGACACCATAAAGAAAAGATGAGCAAGCTTATTTATAAAAAATAAAAAACTTCTTGGCCAGGCAATGGTGGCACATGCCTTTAATCCCAGCACTTGGGAGGCAGAGGCAGATGGATCTCTGTAAGTTCAAAGCTAACCTGGTCTACAGAGAGAGTTCCAGGATAGGCTCCAAAGCTACACAGAGGAAACCCTGTCTCAAAAATACAAAAACAAAACAAAACAAAACTTTTGCCTGGTGGCACACACCTTTAATCTCAGCCCCCAGGGGTAGAGTCAGGTGGATTTCTGTGAGTTCCAGAAACACATGGCTACACAGGGAAGCCCTGCCTTCAAAAATCAAAACTAAATAAATTGACAAACATCTTTCACTTTTGTTGGGAGAAAAGTGTAATTTATTCTACTTCAAATTGTGGTTAACAGTGAAATAGACTTCAGACTAGAAAAGTGCTTCTCAACACAGTGCCCCAACTGTAATTCTAGTGGCTCACACTTGTAATCCTTGCATTTGGGAGGCTAAAACAAGAGAACTGCCACAAAAGACTAGCTTCTGCTACAAAATGAGACCTAGTCTCAAAAAAAAAAGGGCAATGGCTTAATATTTTCACTATACAAACAACACCTAAAACTCATACCAAGAACCTAACAAATCACCAAGGATGTAGATGAGATAGAGTATGCCTATGGCATTTTCTGCCTCACTAGTAAGAAAAGGATACAGCAAAAAGGAAAGCCCATTTAATAGCCATTCACAGCTGAACTTTAAATATCATTTACTGTGTGTGTGTGTGTGTGTGTGTGTGTGTGTGTGTCTGTCTGTCTGTCTGTCTGTCTGTCTGTCTGTCTGTCTGTGTGTATGTGTATATACCTGTGGAGGCCAGAGATCAACCATGGGTGTTTTCTCTGTTGCTTTAGGTTTTGAGACAGGCCCTCTTACTGAGCCCAGAGCTCACAAATTGGATAGATTGGCTGGCCAGCAAACTTTAGCAGCCACATACTACTGAGCCCAGCTTTTTACATAGGTATTAGGGATCCAAACTCAGCTGGGGAATGGTGGCAGACACTTTTAATCCCAGCACTCAGGGGGCAGAGACAGACAGATCTCTGTGAGTTCAAGGCCAGCCTGGTCTGAGTGAGACCCTGTCTTGAACACTGCCCCCCAAAGAAAGGGATTCAAACTTAGGTCCTCATGCTTATGCAGCGAACACTTTACTAATTGAGCCATCCCTCAGCCTCAAGAAATATTTTATGACAACAAAATTATTATGTATAGTTGCTGGGTGGAATATTCACAGCTTGTAATTGGTGGCTCTGTGACCTATATATAGAAGAATGCATCCTTTTGAGGTTAAGCAGGCATGTTGTATGGTAACTTCAAAGTAACATGCAAACCATAAATTTATTCACAGTGGAGTAGAAAGAACACCGTAAATGTTAGCTTTTAAAAGTTCTCTTCCTTTTGTTTATGTGTCTGGATTCCCCAGCCCCCCCCCCCTTTTCTT